TCAATGATTGTAATTCTCCTTTTCAGGAGGTTCAAGGCTTGTTAAGCAAATACACTTGAAGCTTAATTTATTCTCATTAGATTTCTGCAAGCCAAGAGACACTGAGTCTTCCTTTATTTGCTTATATGTAATTTTAATTCCCTCAATGCAAGGGAAGTTAAAGTTAAAATTCTCAGCAAAGTAACACAAAGTATGAACTAGTATTATTGGAGATCTAAGTCAAGGCTTTCAAATTTTAACTTGAAAGTATGTTAAAAGAATACAGACAGCACTTTTGTACCTACCCATTCTCATTTTCATAAGTGCTAATACCCACAATTTAGAGAAAATGGGATCACAGGAGTAACTGCACACACACACACACAGTTTAACGACATCTGCAGGCCACTGATGCAGCAAAATATCAATGCACAGGTCGAAGAGGAGCTGTCAGTGCAATTCCAACTGCCAACACGAGACTCCGCCTCTCGGGAGCGACTTCCAGCTGAGCGGGTTCTCTGCACCTCGCAGCCCCTCAGGCTCTGGGACAGCGCTCGCACCCAGCATTCCCACGCGGAAGGCTGGTGGGTGTTCTACTACACRCTCCAATGTTTTACTACTCTCTCGAAAATATTACCTGCATTTTTGCACAGTTGGTGTCTKTTTTTTTTGGTTTTACCTCATGTTGGTTAATCCTCTCCCATGTCACCACCCAATCACTGATGGGTGGTAGGAAGCCCAGCAGCCAYCCAGCACTAGCAGCATCTCCCATAGCAAACCCGAAAACCGGAGGGAGTAGCAATGCTCTGGACTGCTCACTGCTTCAGTGAGTCAAACACAGCCTTTCACATATGCAGCCATTTTCACTAGAAATGTCATAAACTCACCTTATAACCCAGAAAAATAAGGAATCGGGCAAGAGACAGACATAGCAGAGAAGCAAGTAACTTCTAAAGACTGAATAAGGATTTCAGAATTATCCTAATCAATCAAATATGGGGCAAGTTTTCACTTTGAGGTGTGTCAGCATCTCTAACCTGCACTCATGAACACAACCATAATTACAAAATGCGTAATTACAAAATGCATACAAGCAATATAGTATCTCTTTGCAGACTTTCATTTAAGTTAGATTTACACCTTGTCAGAATTTCAAACAGTTGAGAGCACCATCCAAAATAAGAGAAACAAAAAGTTAAGAAGGGAGTGCAATCCCTTTTTTTTATAACCATTGAGTCATTAACTTGCTAGAAGACTTTAATTATTGTGGCAAACTTGCTTTTATTTTCACCTTACGGATTTTGATTTATTCTTAAACCTTATTTATCATTTGTTTTTACAGTAAAAAAAAAGAAAAAAAAGTTTAAATTTTCAGGAAGGACCACTGCATTTACCCAAAACAAAAGGTTGTTTTATCAAAAGACTGTGTTCCATACATTAAGAATATACGTGCCAGACCAGCTGGCAGACGTGCCAAATGCTCTCAGGCAGCGCGATGAGTTCGTCTTCCTAAAGCCTCAAGCCTCGCTCAGAAGTGCCTTTGAGTTCGCACAAACAAGTTCACAAACTGAACTGGATTAAATTCATCCCARATTCTCCAAGGTATTTAGTAACCTAGTGTGCACTGGAGCTGGCAGGAGAAGAGGTCCTTTCAAAGGTTTGAGAACTCGGTTCTAGGKTTTCTGCTGCTTCCCAGCACAATCTCTGTTAAGGCGAGGCTGTACACAGGATTAGATACAGCAGAAAACAGAATATAAGTCTGGATATCTAGTCTGTGATCTGTGTGTGTAACTGAGTCGCCAAATAACACAACATGTTTAATCCCTTAATAAGATAATGCAGACGTTTTTAGTATTAAAAATAAAGGGAAGATGAATGACCATCTGTGCAATTCCTCTGGGCCGTTCTTTTGACACRATACTTTCTGTACCTCATTGAAAGGTGCATTTCTACCCAGTGAATATAAACTGCAAAGCATATTTTTGYTTTGAGTCATTATGAAGACAGTTGTGAAGATGGCTGTTAGGGCAACGATGGAGTTTAACTGTCGGGCTTTGGAAGAGCCGCAAGGGTGAGGCGGCCCGGGAACAAAGCCTGCCGAGCAGCAGGACCTGCCACACGCTGTCCTCGCCCACCCCGCTTGCTCCCCTCTAGCCGGGTCGCACCGCAAACGCTTCAAAGCGGTACAGCAAGCCGCCAGGGTTCGGGAAAATGAAATAAAAGCGTCGAATGCAAAAACAGAACCTATGAAAAAGGAGGAGCCATTTAGCATGGTGAAGACCCCCCCCCCATACACACACACTGCCCCAGTGACGGGAAGGAGCGGCCGGGGGGAGGGGGGGGTGGGGGAGGGGGACACACGCTCGTAACGG